CCACTGTCCCGTCTGTCACTAACTCTTCTGCTCTCCCTGATGATTTCTCCCCTCTTACTATACCAGCACATTGGTCATGCAGCACCATAGAGCAGCATGATGCAAGTAAGTCCATTAATTTCCCTTCCCAGCCTGAAGGAAAAGGAAGGGGAAGAGAGCAGGGGAAGCCACTGGCCTGTGCTCAGGATACCAGCACTTCTCAAGAGCTGCAGTGCTGTGATTCAGGAAGCATGCACAGAGATAAAGCGTTACCTTCATGACTGGCTGAGCAAAATACTTGGCACTCCAGTCACAAAACCCCGTCTGCACCGTGGCCGAAATGAAACTTTTGTGTCCAACGGTGTCATCGGCGTCGTCAGCAGTCTGTCCAGAGAGAGAACAGGATGGTACCCGCGTCCCTCCCGCTCAGGTGGGCGAGATGCACACACAGTAACACACCCAGACTGCCTTCAACACATCACCGGGCAGAAAAAAGCTCAAACACATTGCCAAGGAGATGAAATCTCCCAGCAGAAGCACCCAAGTATCTCGAGAGGAATGCCAGTTTGTATGTTAAAGGAAGAGGAATTTCCCCTTTTCCCTCCTCAGTCCCTGCTTTGCTGAAGTTGGAGAAAAAGCATCTGAGGGTCACAGATCTGACTCTGTATTATCACTCAGGCAGATAAATGTTTATGGAAGAATAAACAATCAACTCTGATTAAACACTTCTTAGTAGCAGCAGAAGTGAATAATGTCCTATCAAAAGCTATAAAACAAAATTTATCCTGAAGGAAAAAAATTAATCCATTTTTATGTTATTGGTGAGAAGAAGCCAACCCAGAGTTAGTGGCAGCTGGGAGCAAACAAGAGAAATGGAGAAACAAAATACAGAGAACAGAATGTGCAACCAAACCCAGGGAAGCGGGGAAGCAGTCAGATCTGCAAGGAAAGGCTCTTTACCTGTTCTGGCCCTTTGTCAAACATCTTCCTTGTCCTGGGGAACTGGTGGGAGTGGGGAGTGTACTGCACCCCCATGTTGCCGACGTTGGCGGGTCTTACAGATGTGATGTCCCGACTGACTGGTTGTTTTGTCACATCATTTGTCAGGCTGGAGCTGCTTGTACTAGTGGTTGGAGGTGACCCTCTAAAGATCAAAAAGAGGGAAAGGATTTAGAGAGCACTGGACAGGAGACTCACCCTCATCTTAAAGTTCTAGCTTTGCCCATCTCATTATCTCAATTTCGCTGCCAATTAGGTATCACTTGCTGATCAACAGATGACTGTCTTTTATCAGCAGAAAACAGAGATTAGACTTCAATGGGAAATTTGGATACCACGCAGGTCAGGCCAGAGTGCATCAGTAAAATCAGCAAGAGTTAGCTCTTCCTTTCAATTCCTCTTTAGATAATTAGTGCAGCTGGTTACTCTTTCTCCTAAAAAGAAAACCAGGATGAAACTCCCCACCTTTTCCCAGAGCTTTTGTTTCTGAACACCTTACCAGTGCTAAAACAAGAAGCTACTGAGACCTTGGCACGTTCACTCTCTCCAGTACAGTTAACTGGGATGGCTGCTTGCCTGGGGACTGACAGGATGCACCTAGACCCACTGCAGTGAAAGCACTAGAGCGAGGTCAGAGCTTACCCCACTTGGTGGATGTGCATCCCCTTGTTGGTGGGGCTGGCAGGGGCAGACTGAGTCAGCGAGGAGGTGTCCAGGATGCGCTGGGGACGAGCATTTACTGTTGCCTGGAAAAAAACCACAGCAGAGTCTTCAACAGCCAAGACTGTAAAACACCAACCGCAGTTGTTTATTTTCTAATACAACTGCACACCTGAGGTTAAAGGAGTTCAGCTCTCTATCTGTGTGTGTGTTTAAAAATGCATATTAAAAAAAGCCCCTGTGCAGTTCCCAACACATAAGATGATTTTACTACTTTTTTAGTCAGAAAACACTTACCAGAAAGTACCCCTCTGTTCCTTACAGGGAAATGGTTTTGACTAACACACAAGCCTTTTCCCTAAATCAGCTGCAGTCTCTGGCCTGTACCAGCACTTTGAAACAAGCTGCCACTGGGCAGGCAGACACCCCGGGGGTCCCCTTCAGCAGCCCGGCTTGCCCTCCCACCTCGCGACACAGGACTGCATTTCTCACCATGGCCATAATTTGAGACCCATCCTGACCCTGATTTCATGTTTGAGTCAGAACTCTCCTCGTAAATCCAGCAGCTGCCTGAAGCTGCCTGCTGTTGCTCCTCCATCTCCCCTAACGAGAGCCAAGCTCTTCCAGAGTTCCTTGGAGGATGCCCCTTCCAGCAGCACCACAGTCACTCTGACAGGGAAGGCAGAGGATTTCCATGGCTGGGTTGCTCTGAGCTCTACAAAACACAGCCAGGCCTCCCGCAAAACAGTACCCTGGCACTCAGCCATGGCTACGAGAGACTCATTTCTGAAAGAGCCTGAGAAATTTTTGTCCTTTCTGCTGGGGAAGGCCTGAAACACAAGCCAGGAGAAGGGCAGTGAGAAGTGAACAGCTACATCACCATCTCACACTCCTCCTGCTCACACCGTGCAAACAAGCCTCCCCTTTGGCAAGGGAGACATCCTCCATCACTTACAGACTCCTCTCCTCCTCTTCCACATTACTCTGCCTTCTGTGAAGTGTCTGAAATTTTTCACACATTGAAATAACTTTTAAAGGAAGCCCCAGAGTGGCATAAAAGACCTGGAGGGACAAGTACAGCTACGGCACAGGCAAGCCAACTTCCACCATCTCCTTGAACACTAAGAAAATCCACATCTCACAGCACAAGAGCTGAGCGAGGTCCTCAGGTGACAGCACCAGGGCTGGCATCCAGCTGCAACCAAGCTAAGCAAGGCAAGACCAGCAGCTACTGAAACATGGAGCACACAGAAAGCAAGAGCTGTGTACATGGTCTGCTGGAGCCCAGGCAGCTAACAAGCTAACACCTTCACAAGGTAGAACCAACGACCATCGTGAAGGAGAACATCCATCTTTGCACTTCAAGCCCACACGTGTCTGCTGCAGAGGAAAATGAGGCACTCGTGGTTGGGAGACACCCTGCCCTCTCTTTGCAGGAGCCAAAAGGTTCTGAGATGACCTCCACTTCTCCCTTCCTCAAACGACTCAGAGAGGTTTTCACCTCCCTCGCTTCCACGGGGTCCAAATCCTCCTGACCATCGTTTGTTTGGCTCCAAGCGGCAGGAGCAGCGATGACCGTCACCACACAGCACACCTACACCAGACTGCTACAGCTGGGAAGGCAAGTGCCATGACCCCTGTTAGCCTGGCTGCCCCCCAGGCCATCCTCCTCCTACGAGACAGGCTCCTGTTTTGGGTTATTTTCCTCTTTTTCATACGGGGGTGGGAGGGTCCTAAAGGCCACTCATCTCTCCATCACTCAGGGATGCAGTGGGGTCTCTGGTGGGCAGATGTTACCACACAGGGCTGGGGCAGACGATCACACCATGAGAATGGAAAGAAAGTAGAAACAATTTATCAACTAGTGACGTATTATTATTCATAACTAAGTTTAATTAGTCACAAATTAATTAGTCAGTTTTAAGATTCTTGCAGTCAGGTCTCTGTCACCTGAAATGGGTCAGGTCACCTCGTTTCACAGCAGAGGCACAAGGTCAGCTAACGATAATGTGCTGAAGGGCTGTGCAGAGAGCCGAGTGTGGCAGGCAGCCTCCCTTTTCCTGGGAAAAGTTAAAAAGCAGTTTCTTTTCTGAAGGCAGCCAGCAATGTGAGGGCTGCAGCTCAGTGATATCACAGAGTATTTTGCTGGAGGTAGCAGCTCCCCATTTCCTGGGGACTTGCTCCTCTGCCAGTCAAATCACCTCTTTTCAGGAGGGGAGATGCTAATTCATAATTTTGCAAATTGACTCCAGGTTAAAAAAAAAAGAAGAGCAGCACACTGTCAGAATTACTTGCTCATGCACAGAAAAGCCTGAACCAAGGAGTGATGTGGAGATGTGCGTGTTATGGAGGAATAACTCCTGGGATAACTCAGCCTCGAGCCTTCCATTAAAAACAGCTGGATGAAGCAACCTGGGAGGAAGTAAACTTTCCTTAATTAATTGTGATTTCAAAGTCTTAAAAGGCCAACATTGCTCACTGGGTCCTTTCTGTTTGTTTTGGTACAGGCAAAAAGCGTGTTTTGAATTTTTTAAAAGATCAGGCTGGGAATGAGAGTTGTACCATTCCAATCTGCATCATAAATATAAATCACAACACAGCCGCAATCTGTGTGAGAACCAGCAATGTCTCAGCAGCCCGTGAAACAAACCGGCGTATTTCACATCCAGGAAGCACACACGTCTGTGCAACCTACTCACCGGCTGCTCAGGAAGACATCACCCTATTTAAAGACCACTGGAGCTCTTCTGTAGACAAAGATCTATGTTCATGGCTCTGTTAAAAAACCTGAACAGGACTGGTCTTACTTGGAAACAGAAGTTCAGCTTTTAATTCACACAGTGCCTTGCAAATAACTATTTTGCAAATGCAGACTCTTAACCTGGACTTTTGCACAGTCACAAAACTCACAGCACTGCTCCCGTGTGTTACTGCAGGGGACTGAAAACCAGAGAGTGGAATTTACTTCTTCTACTGCTCTCAACGTGCTGTCTGATCACCCACCACAGCAACCGGGTTGTGTGACTAACACCTGCCTGGTACAAACAATGTTTTAAAATCACACAGACTTACAGCACAGAGCTCGGCAGCATTTTGAGGGTAAATACTGAGTTCACCAAAAATGAAGATGCAGTTAACTGATCCCATCCAGAAGTACAAGCCCAGGGCTAATTTGTTCAGGTCTTTCAGCTAAAAAACTCAACGGTAACAGGAAATGTCTGTTACAAATCACAGCGTTTGTTCCCTGGGTTAATGTAGGAAAACCTCAGCTGTCCAAGTTCTAAAATGAAGCCTCTAGTTCTCCGAATTTTGTATTAATTAGAACAAAAGGATTAAAACCTTAGAACATTCAAGTGCTTTACTTCACCTGAAGCTTTTTGTTTAAGCAAGAAAATCAACTTTGGGTTTTATTCAGTGATAAAGTTCAAACAACAAAATGGAAAATGTTGTTTGCAGATACTTGGGAGGACCAAAGGGCCCGTGGGCAGCATCCAGGCTGCTCCCTTTTACATCCAACAAAGCTCAATTAGCACCAAGGAAAAATCTCAGGATACAGTTATCAAAAATTTAATTGCGACTAATTTGCATTACACATCAGACAACCCCTATAATCTGTCTGAGCTCACACCAGCAGAGACACGGAGCTCAGGCTGGCAATCCTGGCAGCACGGCTCACAGAGGAAGCTTCATCCATAATGAAATTAATAAAGGCCAGATTGTAACCTGGGATCTGAAGCTTCAACTTCCATTTTGCTGGACTGTTAATAGGATTATTTTTTTAAAAAATATTAAAAAAGGCTTTTTAGAAGTGACCTAAGCGAGGCAGCACTGGCAAAAGCAAAGCCCACCGTATCACGAAGCGCACAGCAGTCAGCCCACTACAGACACAGCTGCCCAAACTGCTGGACAAATTGCATATTTAAATATCTTCCTTATGGATCTTATGGCCAAGGCAAAGAACAAGTAAGTTTTGTTCACTGAAGCATCTCCAGATAAAAATCTTTGTAAGTGGGAATGCTTCTTTTATTATTTTGCAAAACCATTTGGAAAGTCATTGCTTTAGAAAGCCAGGGCCAGAGCAGCTGCCAAGGAGCAGAGCACGGCATGCACGATGCCCATCCACTCCAGCTTCTGGACTCCACTCAGCAACAAGACATTTCAGTCCAAACTTGTCAGAATCAACACAGAATTTACCAACCAGTCACAGAACATTCACTACAGACAGCAGAAGGTTTGCTGGCTAAGCAGACCACAGCAGTGCTGGCGAAGGCGCCTGCAGGGCACAGCAGCATCTTTATTAATATTGATACATCTCCTTCCACCAGCGAGGGAGTAAGGCCTGAAAAAATACTTAAGGCAGGAAAAGCAGATCCGTTCCTCTTTACATCCCTTTTAATCCCATAGTAGGAGTAACATTTCCTTTTTGCCAAGAGGCTTCCGAAACACAAAACTGAAATAGTTTCATGCATCCAGAGCAGAGAGGGGGAAATCTTTCACCTTTCCCTTTCCTTATTCACCTTAGTTTGGCATCTGCGGCCTGACAGTAATTTGTTGTACACCTCAATCATCACGGAAGGGTTGACCCTGTTGCCCCCCACTGTCAAAATCATTCTCTACCCCAAAACCCAGACTTTTCCACTCACTGATATATACACCGAAAACAAACAGAAGAGTTCAAATAAATAACTATTTTCTCAAGAGAAGATCAGATTTAAAAGCAATAAATCTCTAAGGCATTAAAATGGTGGTGCACAATGCTGGCATCTCTTACTGCAACTTCAGCTCAGAAGCCTCAGTCTGCAGATTTAGGATTATTCACTGGAAATCATCAGTAAGAGACGTCACCTTGCATTGCAATGGCTCATGGGCTTGATGCTAGAGCAACTAGAAAGCAGGTGGGGAGGGCTGCGTTCAGAGAGCTTCCCGACACCACCGGCTGGGGCGGAGAAGGGGGAGGGCAGTTGGTGAGAAGATGTTCTGGGGTGGCCTGGTGCTTCGTTTCAGGTGGAAGGTGAGGGTGCTTCTACAGCTCCCCAGGCTGGCAATTCTGAATCAGCAGTGATGGCAGCCTCCAGGGACATCTTGTCACCCTTGGAGGATGAGATGTGATGAGGATGGTGGATTAGGCCTGG